TTACAATTTATGGTACAATTCATAAACTTGTAATGATCAGAAAACTTTTCGTATAAAAAAAAAACATGATTGCATACATTTTATTTAGATTTATCACAACAAGTAATTGAAAGAGGTACGTAGTTAGACTTACAATATAAAATAATTGAAACATTTAAATTTCTTCTCAGTGTAGTTCGCAATTCAATTACCGTATATTTTTATTTAAAAAAAAATGCATACATATTGTCAATCAGACATGGATAACTTTTTTCTGTGGAAAATTCTTACACAAAAAGAAATAGCCTCAAATCGATCCCAAGAGATTCTTATTTACAACGAAATATTAAAATTAAATAAAATGACTCATTTAAAACCTCGAATATGCTTTAATGCTACGCTTTGATAGGTAAACTGAAATAATTAATAAGCATTTAAACAATATTATTACTGATAATTCTAAACAAAGGTGGATTGTGGGAAGATTGAATTCCTGATCCCAGGGCTGTCTGATTCTGTTAATTCGATCCGCAAACAAACCAGTCGGTTGGAGGAACTTGATATCTGGGACCGCTGAGAATCCCCTCTGACTCGAACATTTCCTGATGAGAATTTTGTGTTGTATTAAACAAGAATATCAGATTCAGGAAAAGCCAGAACACCTCTATTCTGTAAAACGTAAAATATCCCTAAATAAGATTTATAAAACTAATGTTTATTATTTATATTCATAACTTTAGTTACATTTTTTTGTTTATTATTTTCAAATATTAGCCTTTGTAATCGACCAAGATAATTGCGTCTTTGAGGTTTGGTGGGGTTGGAGATGTGACCTGAGTCCACTGAATTTGAAGTATACGGTTGCCTAATATGATACTACCAAACTTCTTTCAACTTTACTTTATAAACATGCATTTATAAAAGGTTATTAAATATATTTCGAAATATGTTTTTTTATTCAGAGATGACAAGGTGAGAGAAAAAAACGGAAAGATATATCCTGGGTGGAAATGTTTAAGTTTGAAACACTATTGTTAATTAAAAATTTTAAAATAACCAACGGTATAAATTTATGAAAGTTTTTACAAAACCAGAATTATTATTAAAATTAATTTTATTTATTTATTTATTTTTTGTTTGTTTATTTAATGAAATTTACAACTGTATACAAATACAACTAGTATATATGCTCAAATTATAAATAATGACATGTAAAGGCTTGAAGAGATATTACCCAGTGGTAGCACTCTCTAAATAATCATCTAGGAATCGAGGAAGAAGCAAGAGTGGAAACAAGCGGATTTGGATGGGACTGAAGTTTATCATGAAAGGATAGATATCTGGCTAGAGCTAAATCAGCGAATTTTTATTTATTTAATTTTTTTAAATTGAACAAATGTTAATGCAGTATTTTTGGAATAATGAAAATTAGATTTCATAACTTTTTCTCTGTACTAATTCATTTTTTTATTTTTTTTTTTATTTTAGCACATAAAATAAAATAATGTTTTTTTTTTATTTATTATTTTCACTGACTGCAACCCTCAAGTAACTTTGCAAACATATTTGCTACATTAAACTATTTTTTTACCGTTAAACGTTTTTCTTTATTAAAAGTGTTTTATAGAAAGATAATTTTATAATAAATTTTTAAGTGATTCCATCTCTTATTTGGTTGTAGATATTCTAACATTGAGATAGCTGAGACATGAGGTTGGAGGGGGGGTTGCCCAACTGTCGTGCACATGATATTATATTATATGTGAGCAGGAGCAGCCCTAAATTTATGAGCGACATTTCACACAGATTTCCTCTTCTTCATCTTCCCTGTAGTTTTTCTCGTCTCGGCTTTTCCTTTACCTTGGAAATATGGTTCCCTGCCCTTGTCTCTGTGCTAAAGAATTCCATGCATAAAGTTTTCGGTCTGTTTTATTACCATAAATTCTTTCTTAGCTGGTTTATAATCCCTTTGGTCTTGTCTTGAAATCAGAATATATTGCCTGTCGGCGGTTCCTATAAGATAAGATGCCGTATTTATTTATAATATCATTTATCCGAAATTATTTCTCGTTCGGTCCAAATAAAAAAATCTATTTAACGATTAAATTACGACAAAAATTGATCATTTCTTTGAGAAATATCGACTCGTTTCGTTGTGCAAATTTCGTTTTGGATTCCTATAATTTGTTATAGCTTTTAAATATATACATGTTAACTTCTATATTTCATAACTCTGTTAATACAAATATTTTAATTCATAAAAATATAATTCACATTGTTTTTTTTTAATATTTTTTTTTTTACTTATTTTCTTCTTTTGCAAGGAAGTTGTTGAATTTATTCAGAGGTTGCCAATAAAAACGTCTATGAATGCAAACACATTTTTGTTACGTTTTACTTGTAGTTAACGTTTCGGGAACTTTTTTCTCATTTGTTTGTTAATAAATTTATAAGCTGTAATATTTATCCATTTGTGCTCTTTCGTCTCATCTTATACATTCCTTCAAAGATGTTATCCAGATTGTTGTCAACCTCTGTATAACTTTTTTTTTCATCAATATACCTACTTATTGTTATGTGTAGAACTACATTTCCATTTAATATAGTTTAGTATACATAAGATTTATTTTCTTTAAGCCATCGTTTGTTCAAAACATTAAATACCGTCCACAGCTTTAAAGAATCCTACATGAAAATAGTCATTTAAAGTTTACCGCAGTGTAATACCAAATTCACACTAAAATGGTTTGAAGAAAACTAACAAAGTACTATAAATTAATCGAAGATCATTGATTTTCCAATTATTTTTTTTATAACTGACCAAGATTCGAAGATTCTTCAAGAATAATTTGTATTATTATAATAATTATTAAAATATAATATATCATTGAAAAGTACATATACCTTTTCAAAAGAATGAATGTTTCACTAAATACAAAGTATTCGTGACTTAAGTGGAAAATATTATTCACTGCCATTTAACGTTTCAATAGATTTCTCTTAATATTTGCTTCAGTGCAGTAACAATGGTATAATATTTAATTTATGATGACCACTTATATATTATTGCAATGTACAGCCTGCAAACTGCTGCTTGACTATATATTACTTATGAAATGTGGACAGTGGTGCTTAGCATAGGCCGTTGAGTACACTGATTTATATCAACAGTCCGAACTCAAGTTAAATATCACGTTTGTGTTGATGGGACAAATGTCTCTGATGCACATCGCTCTCAACCAGTCGCCTGCTTAATCATTTAGAAAGATAATTTGTATTATCTCTATCGGTAATTGGAACTGTAATAATCATCCTGTTATAAGTTTGCACTGGATTTTCGCTTAACATATTTATAATTATAAGTGTAAATTAAATGCGGTAAGGTTCTATTTTTCGTAAAATCTTGTCTAGAAAAACTATTAAATCAATTTATTTTGAACGTTAAATTAGTCATACAATTATCTCTCTGTTTTATTTTAATCTTAATTAAATTCTTGAAATAGAAGAAGGATTACAGTTAAAATATTTTTAACTAACATCAGTTTTTTTTTTTATTGAAATTTACAACTGTAAGCATATATACAGTTTAGTATTTATGCCAGAAAATCTTCTATAGGAATATATAACATGAAGGTACTTGTGAAGAAGCTACCCATTGGTGACACTTTAGGAGGTCCCTTGGCCAACTTCTTTTCAGACGCCTCAGAGGGTTGTCAGGAATCGTATTGGATGAAAGGTTACGAAATAGAGGATTGGGATGTCTAAAGAGTTTGTAATTAAAAGATGAATGTTGAGGTGAGGTCTTTATGGATAATTTTATTTGTTACGTAATAAGGAGGATTTAGGATTTTACGGAGGATTTTGGATTGTAAGGATTGGATACGGGGAGAGTTCACTGTTCTTATAGAGCCCCAAAGCTCAATACCGTATGTTCCAATGGACCTGATGATGGTAGTGTAAATGAGTTTTTTTGTAGAATATTGGAAGTTTAGAGCGTTTGTCAAGTAAGTGTTGTAGTAGTCAAAAAGTATGCATTTTTCTCTGGATTGTACCCATGATAATTAGAACGATTACTAAATTATCCACAAAATAAACAAAAAATTGTAAAATTTGGACAATTATTAACAAAGATACAGTACATTAGTTTTGGTATACTCAATAATGTCTTCCTGTTTAAAGATATTGCATTTAGGAGTAGAATAGTCTACTACACTTTTTTCTCTGGCATTTATAAAACTTTATTATTTCTTAAAGACATTTGGTTGTTCTTACATTTTATTTTATTTTTTAATTTAGAATATTCTATGATCGGGGCATTATTTTGTCTTTCTTACTTTTATTATCTTTCCAGTCAGTGTTTAAAAATAGGTCATAGCAAAGCAATTTGAAAAAATATTAATTCCTTCCTTACATAATACATAGGAACTACTGATTTCCATATTGTTTTAATATTTCTTCACTAAACAAAATTATCTGGGAATTTTGCGCACGGGCCAATTAGTTTAATGTATTTTTATTTTTTAATTCTTTATTGTTTGCTTAAAAGTGTATGCTGGTCTATCAGTGCAAATAGCTTTCAGTTTCTTGTCATAGTGTTAATTGTTTTGTATATAGTTTTGTTTGTTTTGTATATAGAATGTTATATTTTCTCTACATTATTTCTTTTTTTCGATTGATTTTATATTGGCCAGATGTAATCTTTTAATTTTGTTCTATTTAGTTATTCTCAAGGGACTGTGTCCCAGAATAAAGTTATTTTCTATCCATCTATCTATCTAAATATAGTTATAAATTATACATTTTTAATATTTTTGTCCTTAGAAATATTGACCACAGAGAACTATCATACAATAGGGAAATGTCTGGTAGCCACCTTATATGTTGATAATCTATATAGCAATGTGGCTAGGAAATATTTCTTACAAATGTGTTTCTAAAATCATATTTTATATTTTTGTGTGTATTTTATTATTTCTTCTTGACTAGGATACACTAACTTATCGACTCCATTTTGTTTCCAGGCGGTGGTTTACCGAGAGGGTAACCTGGTGAGCGGGCGGCTGGAGGCTCTGATCCAGCACATGGTCCCCACCAACGACTACTACCCGGACCGGGCCTTCCTCTTCGCCTTCCTCCTCACCTCCAGGCTCTTCGTCAAGCCCCACGATCTACTGGGGCAGATCCTGGCCCTCACTGAGTCCCAGCTCAAAGCGAAACAAGCGTCGCCAAAGGTAACTTTGACGTATCATATCCATCTATCTTATAATATATCTGCCGGTTTTGCATTGAACTTATCTCTAAAAGTATCTTGTGAGAAGATTAGTAATAAGAGTAGTAATAATTGACAGGTGTAGTAATATTATTCATGTAAAGAATATTACTGAAGATCCAACATAACTTGGAAGGGAAGTGGGTCTTCTCGTATAAGTCTATGCATCGCATTACAAGCCTAGGATGTTCCTATAATTAACGAACTCATAAAGATATTAAGATCTACTTTTATTATAATATAAAATGTTATATTACTATTTAAAGATACCTCTTACAAAGTGGGATGTAAGATATTAAGTGATGTTATATGTCTGAATTTTAGACTTGGAATTGTCTAATTTTTCCCTCCCATCTTTAATCCGTAATCACGATATTTCTTGAACGTCAGAATCTCTCCTCTCTTCCCCTCTCCCCCAGGTCCGGTCAATGGACGGAAAGAAAAAATAAAATATTGCTTTTTTGACATTACAATAGACGGATTCTAGACCGACTTGTCGTTGTCCTTAAACCGAAGCGATTCGGAGGTAAGAACAATGGAAGATTGGCTAAGGAGCTATGAGACATCTTCCGCTGCATCATGGAAACCATATTCGCATTTATCTCGTTCATTTATGAAGATAGAGAGAACAAAAAAAAAAAAAAAAATATATATATATATATATATATATATATATATATATATATATACATACATAATAAAGCTTTGCAATAGTCATTAACAGGTTTAACTTTTTGGGGGTTTCAGACCTAAACCTTCCCTACCCCCGTAAATCCGTCTGTGGCAACAGTTAGTTTTAGTAATGTTTGCTAGAAATACGAGTATTTTTAGGTGAAAAGGAAAAAAATTACATAATTTTTTTTTATACAGCTTAAGACATTAGCGGATCCAGGATTTAACTTTGGGGGGCTTCAGCCCGAAGGCTTTTTTTTTCATATATCTTACGATAATTATTTGAAAAAAAAGAAAGAAACTAACTATCTATATCTATCTTCTACAAGCAGTATTCATCCGTATGAAGACCGAATTGCGTGGCCAAAGATATTTCTATTTCTAGTTTTTATAATCTGTTAAATTCCTTAGTTTTCCTCAGTTTTTAAAACTAAAATGTTAATGTAAATGACATTTTTTCAATACCCATGCTTTTGTGATTACATATAACTAAAAATCTCTTATATGAGTATCGATTCTTCTTTATTTCATTCTGACACTTCGAGTTCGTAAATCTAGTGGTACCCTAACTCCAGTCACCAGTGTAGCTAACCGTTAACGTTTTTTATTGTTAATAAACTACTGTACCAAAAAAAAGAGAGAAAAAAAAGAAATGGATGGAAGAGGACATTTTATCTCTCCAACGTGAAATATTCGGTTCTATGTTAGGATTTTTTTTTTTTTTGGAGTACTGTGAATTCAGTCGTATGGAGGGGCTTATAAACGACCCAAACTGGTAATACAGAGGACAATGGGAGGGCGAGTTTTGTGATAATTCTGTTTGTTACCAATTGCCATGCTGCGGATGGTTAACGTATCGTGAGTTTGTTTGCTTTACCTGTTAGTAGGGATCTGTAAAAAAATTAAATTTAAAAATACAGAATTGTTTTCACTATCCGAGAGAGAATCACTTTGTTTTCATAAAAGAATGCTGTGCTAATATATTGGGTTGCTACCGACACATAATACTTACCACTTAATACAATGAACAACCCTTAAAACTGATATACAGATATTGATTAGTATATATTATAGCTCTATAGCTGTAAGTGACCGAAACATATACAAATGCAAAAAAAAAAATACTGTTTTGAATTTAATTTGAATATCCAAGACACAGGACAAAATCGTCAAATATCTGCAATATTAAATAATTTATTTGAATATAAGCTTTATTGAAGTATGAAAAAAAAATCGTTATTTTGTATTTAAAATTCCTAATCAGTCAAAAAATCTTAATTAAATAAGAATAAAAAAAAATTATTATAACGTTAACCGGAGTTACTGAGATCAGATTACTAAGTTATAATGTATATTAATCAATATCTCTTAATGTGAAGGCAAGGAGGTTAAAATGGGCGAGTTACAATATATCAGGAAGCCTCTGTACAACGATGTATGCCTCAATAGACGTGTAAAGACAAAAACTTTGGCGTTCTTCTGGTCCCCGCATTCGCAGAGATGAAGTTGTCCTTGCCTGGTTTATGGTCGGACACTCAAGACTGACCCATCTCCATCTCATCACTAAACTTGCACCACCCAGATGCCAGTATGGCAATAATGTCCTGTCCATAACTCACATTTTCCAAGATTGTCCGTTGTATAGTCGTAAATTAAATGACTTAAAAATATCACAAAATATATCACTTGCCTTAGAAAACGACATCAATAGAACTGACAAAATAATAACATTTCTAACAAGAGTAAATTTAATAAAAGAGCTATAATAATAATAATACTATTTATCTTTTTCTCCTATTTAATTTGTTTTCTTTTATATGTATATATATATATATATATATATATATATATATATATATATATATATATATATATATATATATATATATACTACTACTTTTTGCCAAATAAGGTCTAACCATAATTTTATTTTTTATTGCTTTATTATTATTATTATTTATTTATTTATTTCTCATTAAACCTATCAGCTAAATATTTTATGGATAAGGCGCTGATTACCTAGATGTTTTGCGCCTATAACTTCGAAACAACCAACCAACCGACCATATTTCTTTTACTTCCATATTTGGCTATAGTTCGAGACAGAGTATTGTTCTCGGAATGGGGGCTTATATGACGAGTACGTTAATAATCAGTGATATTTCATTTCTTTTTTTTTAAGAAATTGATATTTTAATAAATTAATACCAGACTTCAACTTAATTAACATGGAATAGCTGTATATAAATATCTCTTTTTTGTATAATTGAATTTAAAAAAAAATATAATTACTCTTTGTAATTACTATCTATGGTACTAATTTCTTCATATCTTTTTTTAGGAAAGGGCAGCCCTGTTGCCACGTCTAGTCCAGCTGATCGGCGAGTGGTCGGAGACGTTCCCTTACGACTTCCGGGATGAGAGGGTCATGTCCCACGTCCGGGAGGTGGCCGTCAACGTGGAAGGAGCTGCCCGCCAAGAAGTCTCCCTCCTCCTCCATAACTTGCTCTACAGGCTCAAGAAGCTGGAGCAATACGAAGCATTCCTACATTCGATACACACTGAGGCAACGACCAATTCCATAGAAGCTCTCAGTCAGGTATGTCAATACATATATGTTCAAACTTAGATGATATTTTATAATTATTTTGATATATATATATATATATATATACTCAGGATTGGCGGTGTAGATTATTTTATTATACTTGCTGTCGTTTTGAATTAACCATCTGGGGATGATTATCAGGAGTAATGTTGCCCAAATGCGAGACCGAGAAAAATCTTGGCAAACTCAGTCTTGGTCTTGCACAAGAGTCTCGCAAAAGTCTTTCAGTTACTCATTAGATTATTATTACAGAGATATTATTGTAATTTTTCAGATAGGGGAAACCTGACTAATACAAAAGTATATTAGTTATACCAATTATTTACATATAGTAACTAAGATTGTCAAGTATTAGTCAACTATTTCGCCTTGATTTTTATTCAAAAAATCCATTTTTTTTTTCACCGGTCCTGGTCTTGGTCTTGCAACAGTCAGTAGCCCTTGGTCTTGGTCTTGGAAAGTACAAGACCAAGATCGATTTTGGGCAACACTAATCAGGAGAATGATTCATATACATGTTATAGAAAAAACATTAATCTCACCTCGTGCATCAAATTATTATTTCACTATTTTTTCTATGGGTTGCAATCTATTTTTTTCATGTAGTTTGTTTCGATTTGTATCTTGATTTTATTTTACAATATCGGTGAATAAATTTATTGTGTTGTGAGAGATTGATTTTACTAGTGAAATGTTACGGATTCGTCCCATTGTTTAATCCTACGACATACTCTAATTTATATCAGCCGTGTGATTGTGGTAAACTAGACGGTTCCGAAATGTTGGGTGTAAAAGAATAAGAAGGATGGTGCGAATCTTGAGAATAGACAGGTGAGAAAGATAATAATGCATTAAATATAATCGGGTGAAGATGCCATTAATATTATTGGCTGAGGGAGGATGAACTAATATCTGTCAGGGCCTTGTCGTTAATAAATGTTTCTCCCGAGGGTCAAGATTTATTGCGCGAGAATGGAGTCCAGGTAACTCAATCTTATAAATTCTCACTTTTCCTGTTTCTAATTTTTTTTTTCATCTTTTACTTATTATTTTTCGAGTCTTTATGTTAAAAAGAATTATATACTATTGCTTATTATTTATATCTCATTTTAATTGTAGCGTATTGTAGATCTTTATAATTCGGAAATTTTAATATGAAAAAAATATTATATTAGACGAATAATTTATTTTAAGGACATTATCGAATTTAATTTCTATATAATTGTAATAACATTTTTTTTCGTGATTGCAATTCATTAATTTTGTGAATGGTGTGTGATTGATTGATGAAGCTGAACCTGTCCCTAAAATGTAGAATATTCAGTATGACCTAAGTTGTTCGAAGAAATGTTTAAAAAAAAATTCACCGAAAAAAGAATAAACCCTTTTGTGCTCATAAGCATATTACACATTTTTCACAAATACACAAAGTAACGCTGTACAAAGTTTTGTTAAAGCTAATTTGGTCCTACGGGGTTTAACTGTTGCTTTTTGCTAACATTTCAAAAGTTCAAATTCTCCTAAAGGAACCTAGGACGCCACCTGGACAATCGTCTAACTTGGAATCCTCATACCAGACTGAAACGACAAGAAACCGCTCAACGTTTTCGACTACTTCAGCACTTACTAGACAAACGCTCTAACCTTTTAATTAATTACAAAAGACTCACACGCATGACAATAATAAGAACTATTTTGACTTACGGAGTTGAGCTATGGGGCCCCACCAAACCTTCAAATTCCTCTCGTATCCAATCTTTACAATCCAAAATCCTTCGTAAAATCCTCAACGCTCCTTACTTTGTCACAAATAAAATCATCCATAAAGACCTTAATGTTCCATATGTTTCCGATTTGGCCCAATTCATATACCTATCGTTCCATAATAAACTTCAGAACCATCCCAATCCTATCGTTTCCAACCTTGCTTCCTCCTCGATCTCTGATAACCCTCATAGGCGTCTGAAAAGAAAATGGTCTCGTGATCTCCTAATTTAGATACTTCATTAAAGTTTTACCAATGGGTAGAGTCTCTACAAGCCTTGTCATGTCATATATTTCTTTGTATCACATTTGCTGAATGTATATTAATTTGTACAGTTGTAAATTTCATAAATAATAATAATAATAATTTAGAAAAGTGATAAGGAAACCTTACTAAGACAATTTTCTAGCGTTGCTTTATTAATAAATCAACTGCCAATCGACTATTATGATATGATATTACTTGAGGTTTAGTCATCAAGTTTTTTAACTACAAATCTAGTTATATTTGCTCTCACGTTTTGGCTTACAAAGCTTATAATCTGTTAATGAGTTGAAAAATGTCTATTACTGGTACATTTATAATACTTTGAAGCCATGGAATTACGGAGATAGTGGCCAAGAGATCATATTATTTTATTTTTTTAATAACAGTTGTGAATAGAACATTTAAATATAGCTTTGGGAAATACGCCAGAGGTGAGGTCGGGGAATTAATGGCAGAGTCAAAAGCCCCCCTGGCACTCGTAATTATTTATCACACATAACTTCGGTTATCTTGGTGCTGTGCAAACGCGTTATCCCGCTCGGCCACCTTGCCCCTCATTTCGGAAATATTAATTAAAGGGGCAATACTTAACTCCACCAGACGCCGGTCGATCATAATTCCGGTTCATGAATGACACTAATAAACTTAAGGTCCCTCAGATCTCTTTAGGTCTGTGAGCTTCGAATAACCAATTTAGTCCTAATCCTTGCCAATTAATCCTAAAGCAATCCGGGGATCGTTTGTAAAATTAGGGCGAGTCGATATTTATCCACAATTAAACTAATCGATTTGGAATTCGGCTTATTCGGTCTGGGCCTGGTAATTTTATTTTGTATCCATTCATAATTTTTTGGATAGTGAAGTCTTTAAAATATCTCACGCCCCGCAGTACGTTTATATATCATCTAAGCTTTAGATTCAAGTTTAACTGCCTTACATAATCTTCTATAAATTATCGAAAAATTAAAAAAATATAATTCAACAGAAAACAAATTCACCTTTTATATAAAAACATGTCCATTTTAATATATTGCGGTTGAATATTACTCAAAGTAGATTAGTTTTTTAGGTATCGCTTCTTATTAAAACAGAGACCTAGGCAATCTTTAAAAAATATATACTTTTAATTTACTCCTTTTCTCTTCCGATTCGAACCATAGTTCAAATGATTTTTTTTTTTATGGAACTATCTAAAAGTTTCGGGCATCTTTTACGTTACGCCCAGATCTACGAATATGTTTTAATATATTATATAGTAACTTATACAATGCTAACAGTGTTTGACAAAAGTGGGATGTGATATTTCTTTTACAGTGGTGAAATGAACTGTTATCTATGATTTGTCTTTGGAACTCGAGGTAGTTAAATGGACTCTTTCGTTGCTCCTATCGGCAGTTTTTCATCGGCTCTTTCCAACACCATTAAAATCTACAGTCTGCTGTATTGGTTCACCCACAGAAAACAAGATCCCGTTTTCTGACCTGTATATCTCTCCCTACCGAATTAAAACCTTTGATCCCTTTCTTGCCCGCTTCCTCACCTACTGGAATTCTTCGCATATGACATAAGCTATGTCTCTTCCCTATCCTTATCCAAATTTCTCATTTCCCATTAGTTTCTCACGCCGCAAACTATTCAAACTTGAAATCTTAATTTATAAATAAAATATTGATTGGTGTTTTTTTCATATTATTTCAGAGTTCTAGAGTCATTTTAATTTATTTGCTTATATGTGGTTTTGTTATGTATACACTGATTGAATTTTTATTATTTCGTTTTTGGACAGTATTTCATTCTATTTATTTTGACACTTGTTGTTATTCTTAACGAATCTAGTCTCAGAGTAAAGTTTGTTTTCTATTATATTCTACATTTTTGCTGATTTTTGGATGACGATAATATTCACAATTTCTCTCTGTAACAATTCATACAAAAAGAAGTGTTTGCAATTGATATTTTTTAAAATTACAAATGTTGGTTTTTAATAAATCTCAGAAGAAAAATCAGATGATTGATTTATATATTTTACTAAGGTCCACAAGAAAATATCTGCGTCAGTTGTGGCAGTGACAGGACGCAATTAGGGTCCATGGAGGACAATCTTACCTACGCACTTTACTTTCATCAAACTTCACACTTTATACCTTCCTCTCTTTCCCTTTTACTCCAAATAAAGTGGCTTAGTATGCTTCAGTAAGAACTTTATAAGTGTGTCATTGATATAAACGATAAATAAAACCTGATAATATTAACATATAACCTAAATAGTTGAAAAAAAATTAATGAAGCATTTCAATTGGTAATTTTTACATAGATTTTATTCTTAATTCCTCAAAGTGTTAAGAGTGGTCTTACTCCTCTTTTAAAGTTTTATGCACCTCTAGAATTACTTCAACTCCAGTTAGACATTTCGAAATTCGTATGCTAATTAAGTTAATAATATGTTGTATGAACGGATAGTTTTAGCTTCAATGTTTATTGATTTGAGTGTGGATGATTATGTTATTATCCAATAAATAATAAAGAAACAACAACTAAAGTGTGTACTTTATGTGAATTATAAATTACAATTAATAGCTCATTATAAAGAGAATGAAATGATAAAAATATCCCTTGCATACTGTATGCAGATCCGATTTTTTGTTTCCGATACTATCTTTTCCTTATCGCCTCTCTAACATGGCGTCGCGTTAAGATACAATTTTGAATATTAGCCCATTCCAGAGTGGTTGAAATGCTGAATAATTCCCTCGCATATAGTATGCAGGTCCGATTTTTAGTTTCTGAAATATTTTAATCCATATCTTCAATAAAACTCCCAACATTTTGTTTTCGACAGTTACTTTTTTTCTTTTCGCTATCCTAACAGAGAGGATGAAGTATGAACAATTCTCTCGCTAACAATTTGCGAGTCCGACCTTTAGTTTCTGGGATATTTTAATCTATTTGCAAAAACACT